AAACTATTATCTTTTCATGGCTGTGGAAAAGAACTACTCTGCACAGCTGCAGCTGCCTGAAAGGATATTGTGGGGGTCTTGATAAAGAAAGATTGTTAAATGAGATTTCTATTTGTAAATAATAGAGCATAAATCAGACAGACACTAGAGGGGATACATTCCTAATGGGCCTGAAACAGGATACTACAGTAGAATCAAGGTATGCAATTCAGTGATATTTTTCCAGACTTACTTTCTAATTCGTCTTTAAGGTCATGCTTTCATTTCTGAAATGATGCATCAAAAATCAAATTAATTACTAATTCAAACAAATCCTTATTTTTGGAGTGTAGCAGTTATTCTGTGAAATGGTTAACAACATGTGAGGTAATGTAGTAGTCCAAGAAATGTGATTCTCATGAGTACAGACAGGAGCATTCACGTTCACCACACAAGAGACACTGTTATTATGAAAGTCAATTCAGTTTAATCCCAGTTCATTGCATTACATCACAAATAACAAAATGTTTTGTTGGTTTTCAAAGATTTCCGGGGGGATGAAGATTTCTTTCAACGTAATGCTGCTAGCATCCAACTCTGGGGCATGAGTCCTGTCCATTCTTTGATGATGAGTTAGCAATCTGTCTTATCTCCTCAGCCATGAAAACCACATTATTGATTGTGTTGCATTCTGAACTACAACTGGTCCTGAGAGATTGGATTTCAGAAACAGTGCGGGAAGTTCCCAAACACTGTAGATACAAACCTTGTTTGTATTATTCAGATTATTGCCGGATATGTATACAATAGAAAAATGTTTCTTCTAAGAAAATATGAAGATTTTGAGTAAAACCTAGGTGCAATGAAGTTGTCTGTAGATAAACTTCCTTCACTCTGAGATGTTTGTCTGAGGTCTGTGACAAGAAAAGAGTTAAATAGTTTTAAAAAAATGAAAGTAGGCTACAGTCAAACTCACAGCACTGATGTGCATGTAGCCACACGAGTATCACACAACGCATCTGGACTTTATTTTGGTAGTTAAGAAATATCTAAATATTGCTGAATCTAAAATTTCTTGTTGTTTTAGCTACAGGTGGGAACCCTGGCTCCTTGTCCATCTTACCAGTTTGCCCATTGTTTCAGTACTGTACATAGTGAGCTCACCTTCCCTGCATTCCAACTGTGATATATCACTGTCATTAGGAAGTGTTCAGATTTATTGCTTTTATAAAGAAGTTGATTTTGATAGGATTAACTGTAGCTGGGAGTCTTGTTATAGTAGACTTAGCTTACTAAATGGAAGCTTTATCATGCAGTGGAAGGGTATTTAAAGTGGCCTTGGCCACCCAAGTTTTAAAACAGTGTTTAGCTCTACAGGTGCAATCGAGCAAAATACGTGTCTTCCACGTACGAGTGATGGACAAGGGCTAAACTGAAGAATTTAACATAGGTACTGTACAGCACCTTTGACAAAGAACAATAAACAAATTGTTCTGGAGATAATGCTGCAAAAATTAACATATAGAAATATTTAGTAGCAGTGTAGGAATCACACTGGAATTCCCTGGGCTGTGGGTCTTACCTCACATAAGATTGTCTAAGTACAAAACAGGCATATCAACAAAAGAACAAGTAACAGGTTTATTCCATGCTGAAAAGATAAGAGAGAAAACACAATGTTTCGAATGTGAAGCTTCATCTTTTCAGCATGGAATAAACCTGTTACTTGTTCCTTTGTAGACTACGCATGCTGACGCAGCTACCCACCTGAACTATATCAACAAAAGTATCTTTTATGTTTTATATTTATCATTTTATCATTTTCTAACTATTTTGTCCTATACAGAGTGTCAGAGGAGCCAGAGCCTATCCTGACAAGCAACAGGCAAAAGACAGGGTCCACCCTGGACAGGATACCAGTCATTCACAGTGCCAGGCCCAGGGCCACAGAAGACCATTAACGATCACTCTGCTGTTCACCCCACTGAGAGCTGGTGTATGGTGAGTGTACTGGAGCACTTTAGTTGTCATCATCCAGGTGGAGCTGCACACTGGTGGTTGTGGAGGGGAGTCTGCACTGCCTGTAAAGCGCTTTGAGTGGAGTGTCCAGAAAAGTGCTATATACATTTTTAAGTTTAAAATCTTAAATACAGATACAGTAATTATAAGATTTTATATTATTTTATTTTGATTAAAAAAATACATATTTCGATATGTACAGGTACTATGGATTTTATAAACTGTTAATTCAATAATTAATAAATGTATCAAGTAAAATCCATTCATGTGTCACTATGAAGTATCCTTGGTACCTTTCTGAACACTAAGGTGTTTACTTTGATATCTTTCTGAACACTTTCTAAACACTTAAATTACCCTCCTGGAATGAATAAAGTATTTTGAATTGAATTGCAGATCTAGTTTTTTTCTGATTTAACTTTTTGTATGTTTCAGTCCATGTTTTTGTATCTCTACATAGATGTGTTCTTTTAACTCTTGCTGTTTTTAGGTGATTTTAGGTTGCCTCTCCCCATTGTCACAGGACTGAGCACTATCATGATAACTTAGGCAGTAGCCAGCATGCTTTTGTGTGGCAGGTTCAACAAGAGACCTTCCAGATACCTATTTAAATTCTGTTCAAGTGCTAATTTTGAAACGTGACATTGCAACAATTAGGTTAAAAATTGTAGGGGATTTATTTATAGTGTATTTTTGTCTCAGAAAGATTGGGAAATCAAATAATATTCAATTAAAAAGCCAGCAGCCACATCACCCTGCAACTCACCACCGGCAACCCACTGAAGCTCAGCAGGTGTGAGCCTGGTCAGAACCTGGATGGGAGACTCCTGGGAAAAACTGCGGTTGCTGCTGGAAGAGGTGTTAGAGAGGCCAGTAGGGGGCGCTCACCCTGTGGTCTGTGTGGGTCCTAATGCCTCAGTATAGTGACGGGGACACTATACTGTAAACAGGCACTGTCCTTTGGATGAGATGTAAAACTGAGGTCCTGACTCTCTGTGGTCAGTAAAAATCCCAGGGTGTTTCTCGAAGTAGAGGTGTAACCTAGCTAAATTTCCACCTGTCCCTTACCAGTCATGGCCTCCTAATAATCCCCATCTCTGAACTGGCTTCATCACTCTGTTCTCCTCTGGTGTGTGGTGAGCGTACTGGCGCACTATGGCTGCCATCGCATCATCCAGGTGGGGCTGCGCACTGGTGGTGGTGGAGGGGAGTCCTCAATACTTGTGAAGCGCTTTGAGTGGAGAGTCTAGAACAGTGCTATATAAGTGTAAGGAATTACTAATTTTATTTAGACTCTTTTCATTCCAAAGGGTCTCCAAGCACTTCACCTACAGGGGAGGGGCACTTATTTTCCACCGCTGAAGAGCCGCCCACTCCTGGTGACACACAGCACACAGCAGGTCAGGCATGGCAGAGGAAAATTACTTCTCTCAGTTCAATAGGCAATATCATACAATAATGTTCTCCTTTTTAGTGGAACAAGTAATAGGTTTATTCCATGCTGAAAAGAGAAGAGAGAAAACACAATGTTTCGGCGGTGAAGCCTTCTTTAAGTGTGAGGTGTTAGGCTCACACCTGAAGAAGGCTTCATCGCCGAAACGTTGTTTTTCGTTCTTCTCTATTCAGCATGGAGTACATCTATTACTTGTTCCTTTGCAGACTATGCATGCTGACGCAGCTACCCACCTGAACTACTTCAACCTCCTTTTTAGTGGATTTGACTTTCCTTGTTTTTGTGTTTTTATGAGGAGAAAAATCTCAGTGAATGAAAAAGAATCAAGTTTATTAAAACACCAGGAATTTGAGAATTGTAATGGTCAAGCCATAAGTAACTGATAAAGCAAGTACTCATGTGAAAGAAAAAAACTGTTAAATGAGCAAGATAGGACCACCTCTGGTTTGCAACATTGCTTATGTTCTTGTGTTGTAAGAAGCAAAAAACAAAAGTTAATAAATTAATTGTGACACTGTGGCTTTGTTCATCTCATTAACAAAGTAATTTGAATTCCCCAAACTCCCCAAACTCTGTTAACACGAATAAAAACACAATAGCATGACACCACAGGACGGCCAATCACACATCTTGTGAGGTGAATTCACACCTGATTAGAATTGGTTGGCATTGCTCTCTTTCATTTTTTTGCCTGTTTTATGCATCTACAGAAGAGAGCGCTCATTTGTCACGTGAGAAAAAAAGCTAAA